CCCCTGACATGTTCAGCGCCAACGACGCCGCCAATTTCGTCGCTCGAAATATGATCAGCTTGACATTCGGGGCAACACCTGCAGAATTGACCTCGCTAGAACAGCTGCTGAGCACTATGTTCAAGGCTGGCCACATTTCGGAGTTAGTGATTGCCAAATTGTGGCAGGTGTACGGTGTCAACAAGGAAATCTCCAAGGCACAGAGGAGAGGTGCCATCATCGTCCTCGGCATGATTGCTCTGGCGAGCCCGGAGGTTGTGGTGAAGGAACTTGACACGATGTTGCGAGTCGGCCTTGGACAGCTGGGCCGGACTGATTTTGTGCTCGCCAAATTCACTTGCGTTGCCCTTCGACGCATGATACCCACCACAAAGAAGGTGCAAGAGAAGACCGCCTCTACGGGTCTTTCGAAGATGTCCAACAACCATGAAGTTCTTCGTATGCTCGCATCAATTCTCCTGACCACGTCGGCAAGCAAAGACTGGTATGGGATGGCGGAACAGGCCATTAGCGCCATTTACGTTCTTTCGGATCATCCAGATGTCCTATGTTCCGAAGTGCTGAGACAGAAGACTCGGCTTGTCTTTCAGCAGACGAAAGACTTGCCGTCGTTATCGAGGTCGTCTTCTCCAGAGCCCGATGCAATGGACATTGACGGAGAAGAGCCAGTCACCAACCCAGAGACCGAACCACACGAGCCTGAACCGACAGAGACTAAGCAGGAGAAGCCATCTATTGCATTGTCACAGCTGTTGTTCGCCGTCGGCCACATTGCCATCAAACAAATCGTACATCTCGAGTTATGTGAACTCGACTTTAAGCGACGGAAACAGGACCAAGAGAAAAACAAGCAAGAGGCCAACTCTCCCCCCTACAAGTCATCAGGCCCTACCCCACGTCAGCGGAAGAGGACTGCGGCAGAAGAGGTCCTGGCGGAGAAGCAGAAAGAGGAAGAAAGGGACGAACTCGATCTGATTGGGGGCACGACCGAAGATGATTTCACCGAAGCCATTGCGCACATAAGGGAACGGGAGCTGCTGTATGGTCCACATTCGCTGCTTGCGAACTTTGGGCCACTGGTGACAGAAATCTGCGCGAACAATACCGCGTACAAGGATCGAAATCTCCAAGCTCAGGCGACGCTGTGTCTGGCCAAGCTCATGTGTGTGAGCAGTGAGTACTGCGAGAAGAACTTGCCTCTCCTGATTACCATTCTGGAACGATCCAACGATCCTATCGTCCGCTCCAACGCGGTGATTGCGCTGGGCGACATGGCGGTGTGCTTCAACCATCTCATTGATGAGAACACCGACTTCCTCTACCGACGGCTGAACGACGCCGACGAAAGTGTGAAGCGAACGTGTCTGATGACATTGACCTTCCTCATCTTGGCAGGGCAGGTCAAGGTGAAAGGTCAACTGGGAGAAATGGCCAAGTGTCTGGAAGATGGGGACAAGAAGATTGCAGATCTGGCGCGCATGTTCTTTACGGAACTGGCCACCAAGGACAATGCCGTCTACAATCAATTTGTCGACATGTTCAGTGTGCTCACTCAAGAGGGGCCGTTGGAGGGCGGAGTTATGGAAGAGGAAGCAGTCAAGAGGATTTTGAAATTCTTGTGTGGATTCATTGAGAAGGTATGTCTTTTGTTATATTGTGCCTGCGCCCCCAGCTTTCAAATGACTCAGTCCGTCTCAACTAACACGATGTGCCAAATAGGACAAACACGCGAAAAACCTGGCAGAGAAACTCGCAGCGCGCCTGAACAGATGCGCGAATAAACGACAATGGGACGACACAGCCTACGCGCTGTCGTTGCTGCAGCACAAGAACGAGGACATTACGAGGAGGATCCAAGAGGGATATAGAGTGGTGGAGACCGAGGCGTGAACTGTCACCATGCAGTCTGTGTAAGTGAGACTGCCTAGTCAGAAACTTCTGGGGAGAAGTTGGACGGTATGTGTGTGACTAGGACACACGATGAAGACTGTAATGAAGTGGATGAGGTTATGATATCTAGTACAATGGCATTCATTCTATGCTTGTTGGGCTCTGGTTTCGAGTTCTTCAGCCATTCTGCCTAGGTCGTTCTAGCCATCTAGCCTTCCAGCCAGGGTGGGTGTCCAGCGCAGCCCTCGCAGATTAGATTTTGTATACAAGACTGGAGACTCCATACACCCTGTTCTATTCTCACTTTACTACATGAATGGATACGCATCGATGGATGACGAATGAATATATACGGTGTATCCCCGCCGAGCACCCTGGAGATAGTTAGATGGGACGAGGGACACGGGACAGTTTACCCGTGTGTCAGTACTGTATTTAAGTAGGTGAAGGGAGGTAATTCTTGCAAGTGATGATGGATGCCCTGGGCCACATTTGTCTCATGTCTCATGTCTCATGCGCCGTGGGCTAAAATGGAACAAGAGAAGGAGGGAGAAGAGGAAGAGAGGGTAAAAGTAAAGAAAAAACTTCATGATGATTTCGAGCACGGGCTTTTTTTTTCCCCTCCTCGTCGTCCTCGTAAAAATGGTCGTCGTATATATTCCCGTAAATCATAATATCCCAGGGCCAAAAAACCCCCTTAGTCCCAGCTTGACTCATCGCATCTCAATTTCAAGTCAACCCCAACACACTCTTGTCATGTCATTGGAAAGTGTGAAATCATCGGTGCCGGGTTGGATATGTGATATGCACAGGCATCCACCAGCCCCCATTCTGTCTCTGGCACTCGCTTCCAGCCATGAATTGGGAGAGTCGGGTAAAATCCCTCATCCAATAAACCCCTTGGGGGTCCACCGGCCCAGCTCGGTCCGTTGAGATTCGAGGTCAAAATGATCGGGTCTTTTGGTCGACTGGTGAATTGCTCGATTGTCAACCTTGAGAAAAAACGCCGTTTAAAAAGTTGCAAAACGTAATGTCGTTCCCCCGATAGTTCTGGGGTGCGCTATAACAAACAAAAAGTATGTATACGCTCAATCGAAAAAGAAAAATCCCCCACAAAGGAGCAGAAGTCTTCCCCTTTGTAAGCTAAATGCAAGTTGAGCTTCAAGTTCGTCCCCATTCTAGGGCGTGATGGCTGGCGAGCCCGAATTCTTGGACTCGGAATCACTGGCCAGATCGTGCATGAAGCGCTCGTCGGGCCGGACCATGTTGGAGCCAGACCTCAGCCTGGCGGCCTCACGCTTGGCCAGCACCTCGTTCCAGGCGGCCGGGTCGAGGGCGTGTTGCGACTCCTCGCCCAGAGCGGCGGCAGTGCCCATGGCCGTCGCGCTGTGGATGGCGGCACCAACAGCGCCTCCATCAGCGGCGATATGCTCGGCATCCAGCTCCGGGATGGGCGACTCTACTAGACTGTGGCGGGCCTCGCGCTTAGCGGTGCGAATCTCGTGCTGAGTCGAGAACTCGGCGTGATGCTTGGCGAATAGCGGGACGTGCTTGTCGAGGAAATTGGTCGCGGCGGCCAGGGGGTGTGGCGTAGCGATATGGATGTGGTGATGATGGGCCTGTGAGTGCCAGGAAGCGTTGGTCGGGTTTTGGGTTGGCGAGGGCGTCGGCGCAATAATGTACGCGGGACTCGGGTGTACAAAGGCCGACGGGAGAGGCGGCATCGCGATCTTCATGTTAGATTTTGTGGAGGAGCGGGTGGTGGTGGGTGAGAGGGACTCGTCTGATGTTGAAGGAGAGGACATGATGGTGTGACTGTTGTCAGGAATAGGGTCCGTTTTGTACGAGGCACAGATGAAGCGGTATTTTTTTTTTTGAATGGCGTCAATGAGCTCAGAACTGCTGTATACAGTATCTAGAAAGACGTATATGGCGCTGTGTGGTCGGGAAATCTAGGACGTGAAGCGCGAGTCCTTGTGACCCCGCGACTGCGCCACACTCCTGAGTGCCTGTACTTGTGATTGATGTGTAATGAGGGCTTTTTTTTTCACTTCTGTTTCTTTTGCGCGCCCCAGGAAATCAATGCACAACGGATGTGGGAAGTGGGTGAGTAAGAGAGAGGTGTAGGATATCCAAAGAGGGACAAGAGAGTGTTCGGCACAGAAAGAGAAAGGAAACCGGAAAAGCCCCGCGTCCTTTATAAAAGAAAAAAGAGAGAAAAGAGAAAAGGAAGGGGGGAAGAGTGTCTCTCGGCCATTACGCGAAACTTAGCAAATCGTACCAAGTCCTCCTGAACATTTTCGAGCGTCTGTTTGAGAAAGGAAGCTATACCACACCCTTTTGAGGGTGGGAGAGAGAAGCAACCGAAATGCCGCCATTGACGGACATGATTCCTCTTTGCAGCCGTAGCGAAAGAAGGAGGAGGAAGAGGAAGAAGCAGAACAAGAGGGGCTCGTAACCAATTGGCCACCCCAACCAATACTTGGTGTCTTGTCCGTTGCTGACGCATCATGCGACATTATGCATCATGCCAGTCGTGGTATGGTAAGGCACGGCATGGGTATAGCCTCTGGTCTGGCCAAGAGGGTCGATGACTACGAGTACGTCGTTGTTGTAGTTGTAAAAGACATTGTGTCGTGGCGAGAGAAGGAGAGAGATTCGGCTCAATGAATATGACATAAGGCATGTGTAGTCATCACCAAGGAGCTGGTGTTGCTGGTCTCCACGAACATAACAAGTTCTTGTCCGAGTAGAAGCTGAAGGGTGTGGAGATGAGATGCTGACAGAGACAAGAGAATAGAAGAAAAGAAGTTGAAGTGCGGGCGGGATAAAGATGATTACCCGGATACGATGATGATCACGTGGATAAATCATATGACCTAGATCCCGTGACCATGACCATACTAGGTATATACATGTACAAAACCGAGTACATATGTAGCAGGAACATGGGTGTAAGCATGTATATCTCAAAGGCATGAAGTTCCCTCCATACGAAGAACATTTCCATGCTCGTCTCTATATCTCATTAAATATTTACCTAGTCCTTCCATGTCCCCGAGCAGCCTGGCCCTGCCACGCGTATGTCACCTCAGGTGGCATGTGGGTGGTCATGACCCAAGTTCAGCTCTCTCCGTGCTCCTTCGATGATGGAGCCCATCGCCCTCCAGCCCGGCCGGCATTTCAGCTCGGTCGTATTCTCCCGCCCCAGCCAATTCAGGGCGGGGATACGCAGGAGATGTTGGTGCTTCTGAAGCCACATGTAGAGATCCAGGCTGAGACGCCACCACGAAGGGCTTCTGCATCATCTGGTCTTGGTCCAGGAGGCTGCCGCCGCCGCTGCCGCCGTGACCTCCATTTGCTGCAAGGTGCGCTCTCATCGCCTTGCTGTGACGCCTCTTGCGGAACAAGACGAAGATCAGGACTCCGATGATCACCGCCGCCGCTCCCAATCCAGCTCCCAGTCCTGCTGCAAGCCCCGTGTTGCTCGAGCCGCCACCGCCACTCTCCCGAGATGGTTCAGGCGTGTTTGATGTTGCCGAGGCTCCCGCGGCAGTCGTCGGTCCGCTGGTGGTGGTGGTGGTGGGCGACGACGTCGGGGTCGAACTGATCTCCGTGCTACTCGTGGTACTCTCAGTGAGGCTGTCCGAGTCACTTGTGCTGGTACCCTCGGTCACGAGAGGGCTTGTCTGAGTAAATGGAGACGTGGTGGAGGAAATGCCGGGCCAGCTGGTACTTCCAATGACCGTCACTGTACTCGGTTGACTGTCTCCGAGCTTGACCGCATTCTTTCCCGTGTCGCAGCTACACTCTGAATCCCCGGGACAACAGTACTATAGCAAATCTATCAGTCTTCCGTCCCGTCGGTCCGAGTAACGATATTGCTTCCTCAAATTTCAAGAGGGAGAGACCAAGGGAAGAACGTACCCAGTCCTGTTCCGTGTCACATTTAGCTAAAGGTATAGATGTATTGGAATCTGCAAGCACCCCCGTCTTCAGTATACCCTTGTCACCAGTACAGTCTTAAACCGTCACGTACTCTGCGCAAAGCACCATCCTGGGCATTGCTGGCTGTTCCAGGTCCGATCCGTACAAGTACCCCGGTAATAGAAGCTGCTCCCCCCTTGCTCAATGTAACAAACCCCGTCCGAGAGACACGTCCATCCCGTTCCGCAACAAGCTGAGTTCTCTTGGTCCGGGAAACACGCTGAGTCGTCGGTCGCTATCGAGTAAGGATCATCTGGTGCGAGCGTACTGTTTTGCCAGTAGCAAGCTGCCGAGGCCAGTCCGGAGATGGAAAGGAAGAGGACAGAGAAGGTTGCGGTCGGCATCGAGACGAGCGCGATGCTCTTTCAGAGTGCAAAGGCGACGATATCTCAGGGTGTATAGACGTCGGCTGCCTGCGACGAAGAATGACCAAGGCATGCAACTGCACCACGGTTCTCGCCCAGGCGGAAAAACTAGATGAGCGAACAGAGGGATGGTAGTCAAGTCAATCTTCAGCTCAGAAGTAAAGGCGGGACATTGTGAATCGAACGTCTGTGCCACTCAGGCACCCTACCGTTCCACTCTTGGCCTGTTTCACGACACCCTCCAAGGCCGTGCAAGCCGTGTCCCCAAAGTCTGAACTTTTGTCGCCATACAATCACAGAGCTGGAGAAGGCTGTGGATCTAAACGACCAACACATAGCCAATGCTGCGGTACGCGAGGCTCCATAGGCCGCTAGGTCAAGGGCTAGTTAGGCTTGAGTATCCATCTCGAAGGCCGATCTGTTAGAGTTCGATTTCGGTTAAGGCGTGCTGTCTGGATCTGCGCGTTACTGGCCCATCACGTCAAGTGCTCAAAGTAAAAAATTGGGGCTGTAACGGGGCTGTCCTGTCCAGTGTGATCTGTTCGAGGTGTCCCTGAACGCTTGATCCCGCTGTGATTGAGCCGCCTCAGGGTTAAGAGGGGCCGTTGGGCTCTGCCACCAATGACTTTTTGTCAATCGTCCCTTGACAAAAAGGTCAGTACCCAGCCCTGAACTTTGCCCCCAAACCCTCTTTGGTTTATCACCTTGCCAAAGGCTCGCGGAAAGGTTGTGTCTGATTGGCTGCATAGAGGTCTGGAAACTCTTTTGGGAATAAGGGCATTCAGGTACGAGAAAGTCCCAAGCAATTGGTGCAGTAAACCGCCGGAAGCATGATCTCAACTGCTCCAAACTCTAGACCTACCCACACAAACGGCCGGATTGAATGTAATTTTATCGAAGGTGCGGCCAAGAAGCAATCTAACATCTTGAACACCGGAGAAATGTATTTCCTCGAGGTCCAGTATCCGTTGTCCAGCAAGAATATAGGGCAGTCCAGGTAGACAAGAGATGAGGATATCTTGGACCTTCCGAAGATCTTTGGCGCGGTGAATCGATGTGTCGAGTTCGGCCAACTGCATGAGTTAAAAACATTGAGCGACAGTGACGATGTGCACAAACGAAGTCCTGACAGAACCATTTGGCCAGGGGAACACACGCCGGCCCGAGCATTGTGATCCCCTGGGTGCAGTTTTGGCGCAAATTGTTGCTGCTCACCTGGAGGGCGACAGTACCATTGTCGAATGGACGACAGTTTGTGGGAAGATGTAAAGGTATTCAATACCTCTGCTCTTCGACCGCATCTGTGTTCTGCGATGGAGAAAGACAGGTTTGTCTTCAGGTGTATGCCTGTACTAGTCCTTCCCTTTCTCAGACCTTGAGATGCGGCGTCGCTCAGGGAGACTTGATTTTGGCGTGTTGACAGAGGAAAGATGAGTCCAGCTGCGATGGGAACTCTGCTCAAACGTGCTTGTCCAACCCAGCCAGGATTGAGAGAAGGAGATGAGGGAGCAAGATGATAATGTCCGGCGGCGCCACGAATTCCCCGTCGTCCTGCCCTGCCGTGCGGTCCCTGCTCTCCCAAAAAGTTATCATCACTATCATGAGGTCTTGCCGTCTCAAGAGAGGGTTCCGTCACAAGCTTGTATCGTGTCCCCACGGAATCTGCCGGTGAGTGACTCGAAATACTCAGGTGTGAGTCTCAACGAGGAAAGTGAAAAGAAGAAAACAGAAAGGACTTCCCTCAATGCAGAGACGATCCCTCGACGCCGAAATGGTCCTTTCATTTCCCTCCTCCTTGGTCCGCATCGACAAGCACCAGCAACCAAGCATGACCTGACCTGACCCACAGCGGCACGCGTTGATGATCCGAAACCCTTGTGGCGCATGAGGAGCATTACTATTATGTGTACAGGGTACGAGGTAAGCGGTCCGGTTTTGGTGATTTGCGCAAGGGTTGTGTTTTTAGTTGGATTCGCATCATTTTGTGACTGCCTTAGTCGGGAATCGTCCATGTGCTAATACTCGTCGTACCTGGAATGCTCGTATTGTTCGATATCACGGTCAGTCATTACAGGACGACAAAGGCTCGACGAGCACTTTCGGGTCTGTAGGTCTCCACGAGTAGTCGGAACTCCTCCTCGTGTTCTCCGTGCCATTTCCCGCGTGCATTCTAACAACCGCAGTCGGGCTGTACAATAATACTCCGGACTCGTAAAGTGGAGCGAAATGGGAAAATCCCTGATCCAAAGTCGGAAGTTTGTACTCGGTACCTCGTACCTATTACCCTGGCCTATGTGCCACGTCGGCTTTGTCTATTTCTTTCCAACGTTTCAGATTCGGGGAGGAGCAGTCAAACAACGAGGTTGGAGTGGTTGGATGGGTGTGATGGCGGTTGATTACACGGACTCGCTTCCTGGCTCGCCGTGCCGTTGGTTCCCCGAACGGGTGCTGGTTTAAATGCAGGCTGGAAACCGGGGGGGAGGGATGATCCTGCGTTAGTAAACGAGGGGATCTAGGATGAAGGGGGGAGGGCGAGTAAAGAAGAAACGAGTACGGGGCAACTGAGTACGATGATCATATCAAGTCGTAGTAGTAAGATGTCCTTCCTTGGGATCAAGGAGTGTACATACAGAGAACGGCGGGCACGGCGGCTGCGGATGGAGTTCAGTAATCAATAGTTGCAGTGGTGGTGTGTTTTGCTTCTCAATCTTCGCTCCTCTTGCGTTGGACTACTGCACCTATTCCCTTCCATCTTGTCAGGTATTTGTCTCCATGCAGTTTGAGGTACCTTGGGAGGAATGTTGTGTGCTGGCTGCGGTATGGTCAAGGTGTAGCCGCTCTTACGGGCTTACAAGTATCTAGGTAGGTACAGCCAGTAGGGAGTAAGAGGTCGAGGGCCAATGATCGCCAGCCATTTGTACGGGTAGATACCAGGGACCAGGTACGAGGTACTTGTACCTTTAACTATACCAGGTGTTTCCAGGCGTGAGACTGTCAGAAAGGGGCGATGATGACATGACAAGACAAAGACATACCCTGGCCATACACACCTGAGAGTCTTCTGGAAGAGCCACACGGACTTGTTAGCTGAGTCGCTGGGATATCCTGCGCACCTCGCTTTTTGGATTGAATTCCCTCCTGCAAAAGGCTCCAAAGCCACCTGCACCCGGTACGAGGCCTTGCACAACCTACGGACCTCGTACGCGGGTGGCTGAGATGAAGGGGCTCAGCGCCTCAAAAGTCTCGCGCACTTCGGTCCACACACTCCCATGCATCATCCACCGTCCACAATCCACCTGCGCCAAACTGCGCCGGCACACCAGCTACTCCATCCCAAATTTAGTAGCAGGCCAGCCACGTCCTGTTGGTCCTGTTGGTCAACCACGAGTCCTCTTCTCCACAGACCATTCCCCGGCCAGTGACTCGTCCAGTCGGGTCCCCCTACCTACCCACCTACTCTGCTACCTAACTCGTGTTCTCCAATTCTTGGGGTTTTGTCGTCGGGGTCTGATTTCCGAGCCGGTGAAGGTTTCCAACGACAAACGACACGGGGACGAGAATTTCGGTATGAGGAAAAGAAACGCAATATTAGCTACGAAGAGAGAGAGAAAGAAGGGAGAAAGAAAGTGACAGGGTTTGGAAATGAGACTCAGTGTCACCAGTGTGTTATCATCACGTCAAGCAATTACGGCATGAGAATATGCACCGAGATGGATGGATCGATTTGATCGACAGTGGAAGTAAAACTCAGCGTAAGGACTTCGTTACCCATATTGTGGATGATAGTGGATGATACACTCTGTCAAATTTTACAAGGTCTTTTTCCTCGCCGGCTCAGAATCTGCCCTGAATGCGTGCGCTATGCTCCCTGTCAAAGTTCTTTTGTCCCCGTTCGCTTCCGTGCGACGAGTATGCAGTTCCATCATGCCTGTATATGCACGCCGAAAAAAAATATACGCCATGAGAAAAGGAGAAAATCAAAAAGATCAATGTCTCGGATACCTGGAACTTGCAAACAAAAACATCATCACCAGAAATCGCCCTGAACGCCCCAACCAAAATCCCCCTGCGACCAATCCCTCAGTGGAAAAGGTGACCAGTGACCCAAGGACCCCCCAAAAACCCCAAAGATGTGGTATCAAAAGGCCCAAAAGAAATTCAAATCCTCGTAAAGGTCGTAAAAACATCATGGTCGTGACAGATGAACCAACCCGAAAGAGAGAAGAAAAACGAAGTATGGGATGGGGGCAAAAAACTGCGCGAAAATCCCACTTCAAGCCTGAAAAAAACAATGCCTTCTCTCCCTCCCACGAATCTAAAAGTGTGACAATCGACTGCGTCCCTCGACGAGTCGATACAAGACCCGTTCGGCTTCATTCATGAGCCCCCCCAGGAACAGGGAGACCTTGTTGAGTCGAACGATCTCAAGGAGACCGTGCATGCGTCCAAACACCTGTGGGTCCAAGAGTAACAAATCGTCGACTGTTTTGACGTTGGTGTTCTGTAGGTATTCTCGCATACTGTATGCCGCTTCGTGCGAATCAAGGAGAGCTGGGTGTGCCGAAGACAGACTGGAGCTTCGTGAAGGATTGGAAGTCGGCTCGCTGCCGGTGGAAGCAGCCCCGGAGCCTTGCCCGGAGTTGTCCCCCGTGGTTGACGCAGACAGGCCATAGGCCCAACAGACAAGGGCGGCTAGGTAGAACGTCCACGGCTCGTGGAGCATGTGGGTGTCGTGGAACGTGAAAGAGAGGTCGGTGTTTGTGGCGTCAGAAGTCGAGAATTTGGCCCGGCTGCGGATCAGCTGCGTCGCGTGCCAGACGGCCGCCCGGCTCTCGCGGTTCGAGTCGACCCAGACCCTCAGGTTGCGTTTGGCGTCCTGGAACTCGGCCTCGTTCTCTAGCTTCTTCCCGATGATCCAGGATTCGCCGCTGACCACCAGGAGCTGCCGGACGGGTGTATTCTTGGCCATGTCGCGAGCGTGGCGGTTGAAGATGAGTCGAGATGCGCATTCCCCCGTCTGGTCCTTCCGGGGCAGGAGCTGATCGAGCGGAAGATTCGGGTTGGCGGCTAAGCTTACTTGGATCTGAAAATAGTCCAGAGACGAAGCGGAGCCTTGATCCGGACGGGAGCCCCTGGCTTTGCTGGACGAGGATGGTGCGTCGGAGCCGGAGGCCATTGCTATCCAGTCGTCGATCGGGCTGGTCTCCCAAAGCCTCTCTGAGCAGGGCAGAGACACGTTTACTCGAAGTCCGTTGGGGCTGTCCCTCCTCGGGCGCTCGTGGTGGACAATCGTGGCCGGCTGTTCGAACAGGGTCACTTGCTGGAGATCCAGGACGGTACATGCCTGCAGAATTCGTCGCCGGGTCTCGTGCTCGAGCCAGAACTTGTGGGCTCTTTGGATGTCGTCCGGTGTCCGCTCCTTGGGGAGAGTCCGGAAAACTGCCAAAGGATCTGTGGCCAGGGTCCGTCTTGCCTGGTCGAGGCTCGCAAACAGAGATCGAAATCGAGCAGACATCTCCACCTCCACCCGTCTCGCACAGTATTTGCTCAAAATCTCCAGGAGGAAGACGGTTTGCAGGTCTGCCAGTCTCGACCGGCTCGTGATGTTGTCTCGTCTCCTCAAAAGTTTCGTGGCAATCTCCAGCAAGGTCAGGGAGTACAGTTTCGCGTCTGGTCGGGTGTCGTATTGGGATCCTATGGCCAGCATCGCACTGGCCAGGAGGGGGCTCGGTTTTGTGGGCAGAAAGCTAGGTCTATGGATGAGGGGGTAGGACGGGTGGAAGTACTGCCAGTAAAGTTCCAGGCAATCCCACCTTATAGTGTCGGATATACTGGTTGAGGCATCTCCTGACTGAAGTCCAGAGGCATTTGATAGTTCTCGTCGTATGACAGACCATTCGATTCCATCCAGGTCGGAGAGGGGTATTGGTATGGTAGAGTCTGCAGGGGACTGATCAGCTTCAGTATACGCACCATCCCAATGAAAAAGGGCACATACAGATAGATAAGTCCCGTCATCAAGCATGGTCGAGGGAAGAATGCTAGGCGGTCCGGACGAAGGCACCCAGGGACCGGGCATTGTTCCACTGATCAAGGGTGACGCCGCGCTGGGATCGAAAGCAGCTACCGAGGAAGAGGAAGAGATACTCTGGCGGTGGGGGAAGCGGCCATAGTATTCAGAAACAGGAGACTGGCTGCTTTCAGGGGTATAGAAGATGGAGTCGTCGGCCGAGTTGTAACCAGGAACATAGTGCATTGGCTGTCGTGGAAAGCCGTTGAAGGCTGGTGTTCCCATGCCATATCGATAGTCCTGCTGAGGATGAACGAGAGATCCAATCGAGAGTCCTCCAGACGAGGATCTGGGAGCGCTTCGATCGGCCTGGGGGCTCGTCATGACAGGAGCAGGCATCACAGACGAAGGCTCTGAAGTGACTGCAACCTGTGCCATCTGGTTCATGTGTCCAGCGACGGTGGCTTCAGCTGCGGTTTCCAAATCACTGCGCAGGGGGTCGTTAGAACACGCTTCTCCTCTAGCAATCCAAGTGCTGGCTTACTGTCTCTCCTGATGGCGTTGGAGAAGATCCATACGGTGGAATGCCTTTCGACATCCAGGTCGAGTGCAGGGAAAGAGAGCTTCAGGGTTGTGATTCAATTCATGCCTCCTGTTGATGGTTAGAGGAGGAGATTTACGATGCGGCCGAGAGAAAAAAAAACGAGCGGCCCAGTCACCAGACTTACCTTCTATGCTCTGCCCGAGTAAAGACCTGGTGATCATCATTAGCCCAGTTCCTCCTTGGACCCGACGGTTGGGGCCTTGGGATTTTGGGGGTCTCGACGCCTAACGGGCGGACTCACCTTTCCACAACCAGGAAACTCACAAGCGTGGACACGTTTGCCCTTCTTTGCCTTGCTGATGCGGCCAGTCGGTGTACAGGTGGGCACCATGTCGAGAGAGATGGATGATGTCCTCATGGTGGAAGAGCTTTCACGGCGTGAAGTAAAACCTTGAGCAGATCCTTCGAGCGGTGAGGCAGGCGAGTCGGATACTATAGGTGATCGGCTCAAGGCAATTGTGTCCTGAGAAGGCGACTGAGTGTAAGATGCGGGACGCGGGCTATCTCTCTGCCGGCGGCGGCGGCGGTCGTGGGCTGGTTCGTCTTCTGAAAAGAGTGTAGTCGTAGCCTGCGGGTGGTGAAGGATTGACTCGGAGGAGTTGGCGACGCCAGGTTGTCGAGGAGTTTGGGAACGCTGTTTTGGGGCCATGATGGAGAAAAAGGATATTGTATAGAAGATATAAGAGTATACGAAGTGACCAAGAGGCCTGCGCCAAATGTTTCACGGTGGAGTCGTCTGAAATGCTTGGAAGCCTCCGCCCCCTTCTGAGCCTCAAGTAAAGATTAAGCTTGTTTGAGGAAATGGAGACGTTTGCATGGGTTTTCTGGAGGGGGAGGGTAGGTGTGATGAGGGAAATGACGACTTGATGGTGGAAAGAAGGGGAGAGGCTAGGAGGATTAGAGAGTTTCCCACAACCTATCGGCAGGGCTGAGTTGTCTATGGGAGGCCGGAGGCACGTGGCGGGGCGAGGGCAGGTCCCAGGTGTAGGACCAGATAGGTCGGATGTTATTCTTGTCCCCAAGAATGGAGACCAGACACCTAAAGGGAATGCTAGAAGGAAAAAAAAGACGAGCAGAAAGTGGTTCCAAAGTGGAAAGCATGGAAATGAATTGGGACGCAGGAGCCAGGGTGAAATTAGCTACAGTACCATAACTTTTGGGAGAGGCGGGTGTAAGAGAGGCAAGCGAGGTATAGAGCCTCCTGCGCCAATAGAACGGCAGAGGGCGGAGCGGCTGTGTCCTTTGCATGAGGCTTTTGGGCCAAGCGTGGCCAGTCCCAGTCAAAATATAGAGTGTCTGATCAAGGCACGTCGGAGAAGCGATTGGACAGCGCATCCAAAGGGCAGTGGATGGTGCTGACTAGGACGGAAGCCTACTCGTACTTGGGCTCGTTGGGGGGGGCTCCGTCCTGCTAACAGGAAACGCCAGAAGGGGTGTCAGGGTTGGTGGTACTCGTACTCGTAGAGTAAAGGTACCCTTTTCCACGAGGCCGGGAAAGGGTTAGGAGGGCAATCATGGGAACTTTTGGGAGGAGGGGGGACCGAGCGGGTGGATCGTGTAACGGCAGGACGGAGGCTAGCATGAGCCTACCCGCCAGTCACAGCCTCCTAAACCCGTCATCCTCGAGGTCTTAGCTCCAGGCGGGTGCAGCAAGTGGTGAGATGGACCCGGTCAGATGCTGGTTCGAAATGTTCGTGTGAGAGAGATGCACAGCAGAGTTGTGGAAACTGGTACCTGAGGCCAACAAGCGGAGACTGTCGCTGATTGGGCTCGAGGAAGGTGGCCGTCATCCTTGAATAGCACGAACGTCCACACGCTTAGCGGTTTCTATCGCGAGTGCGGCGCAGGCCGATCACACTAAGCCCAAAACTAAGACCGTTGCTACTATCTAAAGACTATGATCATACCACTAGAGGACTAGCCTGAAACACTGGCCAACCAGATACTGGCCAAGCCCCATCCACAGGGGTCCACCCCTGGTGGTCTAAAAGTGATCCCCTAACCAATTCAGGAATAGCATGCATGCTGTTTAGACGAGTCTGCCTTACCTGAGCACTAAAACACCGAACACCAGAAGCGAAGTCCTCAGTTGGTGGTCCTTGCCCATCAAGTTCGAGCAGTGGTGCACATTCACCAGTTTGATGCTTGGACAAACCACATGCTGTTTGACCGCCGAGCAACAGGAACGCGCTCACTATAGTCTTTCGTACCTGTATCCTGTATCTTAGAGGATGATCATCTCCGTACCTGGCATGGCGAGCTCGGCTTATGCTTGGTGGAATTGCAACCTCGCGACTCCCCGATCGCATGCCCAATTCTCCGTCTTCCGATCCCCCCAACCTACTCGCAGTATTTTTTCTACGAGGACTCCACCCCGTTGATGCCGTCACTCTGTCGCACTAACAGGAGTCAAGGAATATCCTGGGGACGGCGGCTTGGGCGACGTCTTTTGCAATTCTCGCGAGATGGCAACCATTGAATGGATGGCCACTCTGTAATCACTGTGATCATCAGAACGCAACTCATTGGCAGGGAACCACAGGCCAGCAGGAACACCAGGCCCGAGAAACTCATCAGGAGTCTGGTAGTGCCCGAGGGTCTTCGCCGAGTATCACAAAAGTTGCAACCCATTTCGGGGACCATCTGTGACGTGCAAAAAGCATTTGGCGTTGATGAACGATTGTGCAATCAACACCAGGGTAACAGGTTATCCAGGTGTCGCGAGCGCCGTGTCCAGCTGAGAAGATCTACTGCAGGAACGAGTTGGTCCCCCCCGATTTCTGCCTCTTTGCCAAGTACAACATCTACATACCCTTCTGTGGTTCATCGGACGATCTCGCGCTGGATGTAAAGTGTTTTGCGACATCCTGACAAACTCCGGGGCCTTGGTGCAGATCACCGTTCGATCCGTGTCCTCTTTTCTTCTTCTTTTCTGACCACCCTTTCGATCCATTTCTGTAGCTTACTCTATCTGCTTTGGTGCGAAGCAAGTCCGAAGAAGTGCGGGAAGGATTTGCCCCATCAGCCACTCTAAAAAGGTACTTTCGCGACACTCGCCACGATGGAGCATCATGGGTCCGCTGTGGCTTGAGTCAGAAAAATCCCTGTATCGAGTAATCTTCGGGTATAATCGCTCTGTGGCTGGAAAACCCGTGGCGTTAGTCTTGGAGCAACTTACTGTCACCTGTCGGTCAATAACGTCTTTCGATGATTACCAAAGAAATACGACAAATCTTTCGAGGATCCTTGTCGAAGGAAGCAGATCCTGGAGTGCGGCTGATGGTGGACGAGCTATATGATAACACACGAGAACCGAGCATTCCGTGCAATATGCTCACCGATTCTCAGGAACTCTCCATACCTACTCGTACACTGTGCATGCTACCCCGGTTGAATTGCGGATCACAGCGAATTATTATTCAAGATTTGCGAGTCTCCCATTGTCACCACTTTTGTCCCCTCTATCGGCTCGCCGGGTCTCCAATTTCCACTTTGTCCTTGAGGAAGTGGTCTCTTCAACCATCACAGCTGAACTGTGTGCTCGCCGAGGATGGATAATGACCCACACGCCGATCAACCCTGGTCTCCAGCGCAGTACTCGTACGAGGAATGCGTGGCCGAATGCTCCCCGTAGTCTCCAAACGAACGTGTCATCAGCGTGATACAACGTGCTCGTAGCGCCATGGGAAGCAGTCTTTTTCGGCAGGTTTGTTCCTTCCACGTTTTGCTCAGAGAAGGAAGCGGCTGTCCCTTGCATCTGTAGGAGCATTTTCGTACTCGTGCCTTGCCATCCTTCGTTGTTCCATGTCGATAGGCACCTCGAGCTGCAGAAACCCCCTTTCTCCTGCGTCCCAAATCATTGAATAACAACACTTCGACCACTCTGCCCAGAACGAGCAGATCAAATTCCTACGAGCCACAACTGACAAATAAATCCACGACTCTCCAAGGAGTCCCAGGACCCGACCTCAACCTTAATGATCCTCCCAATTACCGGAAACGGCACAAGACGACGATCTCTACGAATCGCGTGCAGACGAGAAAAGGGTTTTTCCCGACGGGAAACCCCTTTTTTGAACAAGAACAAAAAAGGCACCAGCGTTTCAAGACCTGCGCCGTTTTCTCAGCCTTAATGACAGGTTTAGGCAATTGGGCGAGAAGACAAATCCTTTCGTTCCCCCCTCATATGTAGACGAGGCGAGGGCGCCACATCAGTCCACCCGATTTTTCCTTCTGCTCCAGATCTGCACGCTCCATTTATCCGGAGAACGAGTCGGGCCCTTGCCGTTCTGCTCCAGCCAATTGTCGTTTGATATCCCATTACTCCAAGGGGAACAATGTCGCGTACCGCGTCCTAAACTACTCCGTTCCTATGCTGGCTAAACGCCTGGCTCCCCTGACCAGGCACGCCAACCAGCACAACAACGGCCCAAGTTTCGCTGGTTGACCACCACTGGTTGACGGTTTCAGAGTTCGGGGGATGTGTTTTGAGTTCTGTTTGTCTGTTTTGAAACGTAGCTTTGACGCGTGCAGGGACGGGACGTTGGAGCAAGGCCTCTTATACGTGATTGTTCTAGAACCAACCCCCTTTTCTTCCTTTTCTTTGTGGTGCAGGACGACAAGCATGTGGCCTGTGCCGTAGACGCCCAAGGTTGTTAGAGGTGCATATGCAGGAACTTCCCGTTCCTGCCTCAACGGCACGGGAGGAATGAGGAGTACGAGGTACTTGGTATCAGCATTATTCGTTTACAATGGCTCAGGGGGGAAACCTCGCTTACCGTCGTATTCGGATCTGCATCCCGTGTGTGTGCGTGTGTGTGTCTCCGAAACACGGCCACTTTGCACCAAGGAGAGCAATCTCATATACGAGGTGACAAGGCACGAGGACTCGGTACAGTGGGACATGGACATGATTTGCCTGACTCGTACGTACGAGGTCCAGAGGGTTTGCGGTGGACAGGAAACCGGCCTTGTTGACTGATGACCCATTCATTATGATTGTTGCCCATGATATCGTTACGGGATCGGAGCGTGCAGCAGAACCTTTGAGCAACAGTGATTTCTTTGATCGTTGAACTGAATGAGCTACGAGGAGAACGCCTACGGAACAGAGAACCTCGACCGTTCAAACCTTTCCACTGATAGTGGATGGATTCCACGGTATGTTCCGAACAGATACAGTGATGAATATTCATTGCGAGGATGAGGTACCTACATACACAGATATTCTCTTGACTCGATACGACACCGCGTTCTTTCTTTTCAATTATTGATACAACCACAACCACAACCATAATCACAATCTCAGCCACCTCTAAACCCGATGCTGATGAATCCTTCAACCCCTTCCTTCACTGTGGTTGTCCCTACGAGGTCGAAGTCCCCAACTCCATTGGAAAAAAGGGAGTCAAGTCAAGTTCACCGAGCGCCCTCTCCCGTCATTATGTATGTAAGTACCGAGTATGTTCTGTACGTTGGTTTTGAGGCTTGTTTAGCTATGGTCCGAGTGAGGTTACTTACTTGTACATGACTGCCGTTGACCCGTTTCATCATAGTGTTGTGTATACACCCACAGGATCCCAGTGTCTACTTCGTCCGTCTTCCTCGGAATCTGACCTTGGACCTCAAAAGCTAAGTAAGTCTTGACAAGATATGGAGGGAGGGAGGGATAAACACACGACGTCGTGACCGAAGGAAACGTGCAGCTCCTTAGTTTGTCCTTGCGGAGACAGTCTCTTTGACCTGACCTCAACGTTCTGTCTCCCCTTGTGAAGCTGCGTTCCAGGTCTGGGTGTCTAAGGTACAGTACGGTACATGACGTATGTACTTAGTCCTCTATACTTCCCAAGACCGAGTCAAAAAGTAGAAATGACCCAATGCTTACGGGCACGCGCCGTGATCGATACCATGCTTGGGGATGTCAACCCTTGTAACACGTAAACCAGATGATCTATCATTCATTAAAAATGCAACCCTAGATTCCAATCCCATATCATATCAGGTCCGCTCCTCAAGGCCCGCACGTATTGTAAACGCCCTCAGACCTGGGGAAGACCGGTCCCGATCCAGCCATGGACGTGTTGGTTGGATGGTTCCCTGGCTGGACGTCGCTCTATATTTATCCAGTCGTTCATTCTTGGGAGCATCAGCATGGAGTAACACAATCCAAGTGTCGCTCCCTATCCTGTATGTACACTATCGTATGTCTCTGTCGACCCAATCGTTGATGATATACGCCGTCTAGTCCATCTCTTCTTTCTCACCATCCCAGTACCGAGCACATCATCGCAACTCCTTGCTTTCACACTCTATGTGTCAGCATCAATCCCTGGCTCCGGCACAAAGTCGATCCCATATTCTTTCTTCTCCAGCCCGGCCAATACCTCCTTCCCATACTCGGTCAACTCAGGCTTCCCATTCGGCTCGGTGGGCGAAGTAAAGAACCTCGGCTTAAACTCGACATTCAGGTCTTTCCTCTTTGCAGCCTTGTCTCGCTGGGCCTGCTCCAAATCCTGTTTCATCCTTGTTGCGTCCGAGTAGCGCTTTTCGTTGATTGCGGTGGTAACCTCGGCCCAGAATGTGCGAGACTCATGCGGCAGTTGCTCGTGCGGCGGGGGGCAGGATTTGGGCACCGGGAACAAAGGCTGCAGGTCAATGAGGAGTTGCTTGTCAGAAGTTGGTTCGATATTAGGCGTCTCCTTGACTGCTGCGCTGTTCGGAATCGTATACACGATTTGTTCTTGCCAACATCCTTCAAGTTTCGCCAGGATGTCCTTCTCGGGCACGTCCTTAACCCGCGTATATTTGTCGTCAGATGGGTCATAGCGGAAAATAAGACCATGGACCCGGTTCTGCGCCTTGCCAAACCAGGATTCCTCCACATATGTAAGGAGACATTTTAGCCTCGTCTTGGGACAGGTTATAGAACATGTGTCCGCGACCGAGATGTACAGGGAGCCGCGAAGGAGGCCCCCTAAGGAAGCGGCCGGGTGGACGAGTTGGTATTCTTCATTGTCCCGCTGTGTAAGGGTAACGAAAATCCCCCTGTTGTAGACACCCGGAATCACACGAACAGATGTGCCTGTAAACTTGGCAGAGATTTGGTCGTAGCCTCGGGCAATGATGCCGCGAGAAGGGCACTCATACCAATATGCTGACACGGGCGGGTGGTGTGAGGTCTGTTCGGTGAGGAAGGATATTCGGACCGGCTCCTCGCTGGTGTTGCCATTGGCCTGCGGCTCGGTAGGATCGACAGAAGGCTGAGGCGGTGCTTTGGATGGATTAGATATAGGCGGCGCGTCGGAATTGACTTCCCAGTGACACTAGAAGGGAGAAATGGACCGTTAGATAGATATCACCATAGCAGAAGAGCCATTCTGGCTAAGAGATAGGAAGAAACTATCACAAGTGAAAACATACCCTGAAGAATTCTCCCAGCGTCGAATTATAGGGTTTGCAAGGCTTGCCTTTCACGTATTTCTGTGCATGTTCTTTTAGCCTCAGGCACAAGCAGACGGCGAAGATCCGTTCACTAACCAGATCTTTGGTGAACCAAAAGCGTAGGACTTCCAACATGCGACCAAGAGGCTCGTCTGATCTTCCTATACTGCGGGACTTTGTCAGCACGTTCACGAATGACAAAGGCCTCTCAAGCCACGCAGCCTTACCTGACAAAAGTCTCCGGCCTATCCAAGTAGTGCCAGTATTCTGTGTGCTGTCAACACTTCTGCTCCATCGTAGCGCCAGCTGCTTGCACATACCTAGGTTCGGTATAGGTTCTATCAACTGCGAAGGCAATGAAAAGCGAACATTTGCAATGTCTGATACACCGATAAACCTGGTGCATGCCCAGCGGAGTCAGCACAACATCCTCAACAGGCCGGGACACCCCATCGAAAGCTGGCGATATTTTGTTTGTAGCAATGACGTACTTTTTCAACAGGCCCAAGAATGTCCTTAGCTTTGAGCTATCATCTCGGAGATCGTTATCGGCAGGAACAGTTGTTCCCGTGGGAGTGGCGGACGGAGTAGGAGTAGGCGGTCTGGTGTTGGGATTAGAGGTCGCAGGTGTTGCAAAAGGTGTATTCGAGGTAGAGGTCATGATATGAGCCTTGGGGATCTTTTTCTGTCGCAGGCTCCGGCAAAGAAACTCGCGTGCCGCACTTTGACCGCCGGTGAGGTTCTGGGAGGGACTAGAGTTCAAGGAGCGACTGTCTTGTGGTGAAATGGATAAGAATGAGAGGTCAGGTTTTTGGAGGAGAGGACTCGAGGGCCTTTGTCTGGGAGGATAATGCCAACAAGATACTCGTATGGGTTGCAGGGGCGGTGGAAGTTGGGTGGCTGCGAAAAAACCATCCAATCCCAGGGAGGAGATGATAATCGTGGTATGGGAAACCCATGCGGGATGGACGAAACAGCTCAGCCTTGATGCTGTGCATGACGCGCACTTTGGACCCTGCGAGGGGACCCAAGTCTCTAAAGTTGTGGCCGTGGTGGCTCGATTTGCTGTGGCGGTGCCCACTTTATCGATAAGCCCCATAGTGCCATTAAAAGCTGCTGCGAGTCACAAGCTGAGGAGGCCGGGGGGGCAAGGAGGTACGGAGGCCAGCCTCGTCAGCCCGCCGTATGCTCGAGAGCTTGATTAAACCCCTCCCACAGTCAGGTCTAGCGCCAACCATCCCCGCTGACGATGGGGCTGCCATTAAGTATTACAGTGCGATGCATATGAGACCAAGTCAGATCAGTCAACTCGATATGTTTGCCTATCCCTTGCTGATGATTACCCATTCAAGCCGTCCCGCCGCGATGAATCCTGCCTTCATTTGGAGACCGTGAGTGTTTTTCCATCCAGGAAAGCCTTCAAGGCGAAGCAGATGCTCGCCAACAAAGCAACTCGAAACGCACCTCCAGATATACTCCCAGCTCCCAGCGTGAGCAAGTACCACACGACGCCTATCTTCCGATTGCCGTTTCGATCAAAGTCAGGCTTGAGAAGTCCCATCTTGTTGAACTGGGCCAATTTGCCAGTTCCAGCGAACGGGGGGTATCTCACAGCCAACAGACTTTCCATCCAGCTTGGCGTATAGGTGATTGATCGATGATGTGTAAAGCAGTCAAATGAAGCTTTGCCGCGGTACGCTCCAGTGCCCGAGTCGCCTACACCCCCGAATGGTAAGTTTGGTATGATGCCGTGAAAGAAGCCATCATTGACGCTGGCACCGCCAGAGCGTGTGCTTGCTAAAATTCTGTCAGTCTCTGACTTCGACCCAAAGGCATACACGCCCAATGGAGTCTCATGGAGCTCATTGGCAATACTGATTGCTTGATCCAAGTTGTCGACGGGTAAAATGGGGATAAGAGGTCCAAAAGATTCTTCCACTAGCAGCGAGTCCTTGGGATCTGTGACCTCGATCACAGTCGGCTCAATGAAGAGCTGGTCCGCATCCATGGTTCCGCCAATGACAATCCTGCCCGACGTATTGTCGAGCATCTTCTTGATGCGGTTGAACGAGTTGATGTTGACTATTCTGGAGTAGTCGGCGCTCTTCTTGGCTCCTTCCGGGAAGAATTCCTTCATAGCCGCCTTCAGCTCTGCAATCAGAGTCGGGACGACTTCTCTGTCCGCCAGAATGCAGTTCTGGCTGATACAAATCTGGCCTGCGTTCATGGTTTTGGACCACAGTAGGCGTCGAGCCACGAGGCGCATATCTGCCTTCTTGGTCACGATTGCGGGATTCCGTCCACCCAACTCTAGAGCAACTGGAGTCAAATTCTTTGCGGCAGCCTGGGCAATGATCTTGGCCGTGCGGGCAGAGCCAGTAAAGAAGATTTTGTCCCACTTCTGCTCCAGTAACGCTGAAGTCTCTGGGATAGCGCCTTGGACACAAGCGTAGCAGTCGGGATCGAGCGCTGTCTCGATGATTTTTTGCATGACTGCGGCACTGTTCGGTGATTGCTCCGAGGGTTTCAGAACAACAGTATTTCCTGCCGCAATGGCTCCTATCATGGGACCGAAGGACAAGTTTACGGGGAAGTTGAAAGCCCTGAATGAAATTTTAGTGCACGAACAATATACGAGACGGACAGAGACTACTTACCCAATCACGAGCACCACACCCAGGGGATCCTTTCGGATCTTCGGGTTGACCAGGCGATTTGAGAGGGCGATATCCGCTGGTTTCTCATCTTTCATCCATTTTTCTAGATTTTGGGTCGTGAAGACAATATCATTTTGGGTCCAATTGATCTCCCCAGTGAAGGCTTCGAAAGAGCCTTTACCCAAATCCCGTGCTAGCGCCTCCAGGAGCTCTTTCTCGTGGTCGGCGATGGCCCAGTAGAGTTTACGCAGCTGCTTGATTCGAAACTCGGCAGGGCGCGTCTTCTGAGAGTAGAATGTGTTCCGAAGTCGGGAGACGATCGAAGGAATCTGCTCAACAGGCGTGCTAGTGAACGATGGGAGTTTGACCGTCGTCATCCTGTTTTGATTCCACCAGTTGCCGTGAGATATCTCAGCTCGTCGTCAGTTGAGAAGACTTCAGCTAGGGTATCGTTGTCTTGATGACAAGAAGGATAGAATGTTCTTTGTCTTCAGGTTCAGTGAGCACTAGAAGGTGAGATATTTTGTTTGTAGCCAAGCAGTCCGACGATGCCTCGGTTCAGGCTTGAGTGATTCGTCAACAACTGCTGGCGCGGGCTTCAGGTCTGAGATGGCGGAGAATTGCTCGTCGATCTCGTCAGAATTGTATGCTCAACTTGCTCACTGGAAATGTCGCAGGGGCTGTATGGCCGCCCAGAAATCAGACAGAATACATGTCTGCAGTGACAAGGTCTCTATCCAAACCAGCGTGACCAGCTCTCCATTTTGCTTTCAGCAGCTGCGGGAGTAGCCCCCATGCTAACCGTAACGAGGCCTAGGCACCTACTAGGCCCAACGCGTGGTTCGTCGGGTCTCCAAGTCGTGACGCATCGCCATCATCTGCCTCGCCCAGGTAACCCCCCTGGCCCTCCCGCGGTGGTGATAGCCCCTCCTTTCTCTATACCGTGGTGCCGCGAACTTGTTGCAACTCTCCCCTCCGCAGTTTCAACAATCATCGTGCCTCATCTGCTGCGTCACAAGGTCTCGGTGGTTTTTTCCTCCTTCATCCCAACCTCATTTCATTGTTCATTCCCTGTTACTGGTTATCTTTCCTTCAAATCGCGGGCTTTCCGCTCTGTCCATCTTTTCTCCCAGATTCAAATGGCGACATGGCAGTGTTCTTCGATCTTGACGACGACGATTGCTCAACCAGCGATCGATCGCGCTTTGACACGGACAAGTCATCCCAGCAAAATCAGTTGAAACCTGCAACCAATGGAGGCACGGGTCGAGTGAGCCGCGTTTCTGGCGTTGATAGTGGACAAGTACCGTCAATAACAGCCAGCAAACTGGCTGCTGCAGTGACATGCTATCCGTAGGCGCAGACACGTACCCGCATGGACCCCCTCTACGTACTAACCTTCCGGATCTATTAGTATTGCTCTCTCCCTGTCCTCTCATCTGGATCTCAATGATCTGGACGCCCTCGCGTCCACCTGTCGAAGTGTCCACAACGGCCTGACACAGTATGCGCGTCAACTCAAGTCTGAGTCTCTGCGTTGCATCCATGACGGAAGACCAGTTCTAGCAGAAGCACTCCTGGCACAAAGAGAAAGAACACACACCGAAGAGTTCTATGGGAGTACTACCCTGGCACAACGTCCTGAAAACTCACACCATCCTGGGGGCCTCTATGCTTCGATGGGCGTTACAAGCAAGATCAGCTCTTGTGCTCGAGATTTGGTGGCCCCATGTCGTCGATGCGGAACAGTTGTATGCCGTAACTGTGCCGCCAAATCTCCCAGCACTGTGAGACTGAGGGACCGCTTTCGCCGCCTTTGCAAGACTTGTCTTGACGCCCCAATCGAAGCGCATCTGCAAGCCCTTAGCTCTGCTGACGATACCAGCGAAAGTCAATCAGTGTCCAGTGCGAGTTCGATGAGGTCCGAGCGGTCAGCTTCCAGCTCATCTACACCGGACACCTCTATAGGTCTGGAGAAAAACGAATTAGACACCTGCTCGCACCGGTCTTTTACTTCTTCAGCATTTCTTCGGGGTCCCTGCACCTGCGAGACTCGTGGGGTGTTTTTATGTGCACCATGTGGGCAGAGTCTGCGGGCAGCTGACACGACTTACAAAAGGGTGTGGACCTGGCGTTCTCGGTACTCGACGCACATTGGTGACGGGTTAGGAACAGGATTGGGATTGGGAAATCAAGCTCAAAAATGCGGCCGCGGAGAAGATTGCCTCGAGATGAGCGGGAAAGCTATATGTTGGGTGGAAATCGAGTGTTCTGAGGGCAAGGCGCATGACGCGTCCGATCCGGAGAGGAACAGTCTCAGCCGAGTTGGCACACCAGATTCGGCCTATGGCAGTAACAAGCCTGGGTATTTCCAGCAGGAGATCGAGGGCATAGGCGGAGTGGTCAAAAAGAAAGTAAAGAAGCGTGTCAAGGTAGGGGCTGGGGTTTGGGAGTGGGAAGACGAGAGAGAAAGTGGCAAATATCTGGAGAGGGAAGCCGAAGGGACGGCGCGCAGTTGGTGCGGTTGGTGCGGGCGGGTATGTCCCTCCGAGCAGGACAGGAATGAGTCTTGCATGGACTTGACCAGCATGGCAGTCTAGGTGTCCAGGGACAAGGTACTTAGAAGCCAGAGAAGAGCGGTGTGTTGGCAGAGGCATTGGCGACGCTTACCATAACCAGTCGTGGTAGCGGTACATGGCAACAGGGGTTTTCTGGCTACCAGCACACCGCATTCCGGAGAACAATGTACCAAAGTAGTAAAAAGTATCCTGTTACCTCTTCACAGTCTTGTGTCAAGGGACAAAATGCCCCGTACCGTGGGAGACAAGCAGGACGAGATACCAGATCCTCTCGGACGCAGATCTTAGACGGGTAGGACGGACGGGTAGCACTTTTGACTCCAAGTTCCATCGCAGTGGAGGGCGATCCTCACTAATTAGTGCTTTTAAGTGTCCCTGCAGGAACACGGCAAGACGGTCGGCCGGATGCAGCTGCAATGCGGATGGCGAAAGCTGGAGTGAGAGCGATTGGTTCGCCCCCAATCAGGGAAACGTGGGCGGCACAAAGAGGCTAAGCAAGCGATGGAGGGGAGAAGCTCCGTCTGGGGAACATCTTCTCGAGGACCGAGTGCAAAGTTATGGATATGGGGCCGCAGCCGCGTCCAGGGTGTGCAACAAGGCTGAGACCCTGACGAGGCAGATGGTGGACAGGATCAAGATGAAGATGACAGGTGAAAGTCAGCATGTCATAACTCGGCTAAGGGGGGCATGGGGGGATACGAGACATTGATGTTGACTTCTTAGCAAGTACGCAGACGAGGTCCTGCCTCCCTGGGGTAGGCATTGTCGATCTTGCGTGTGGCATGCCTAATGTCGTGCCCTGGTGGGACCGCCCACCAACAACACGCCACAGAATTTGGGGGTCGCTTTAATTAAGTTGATGATCGAGGCATGGATGGGCAGTGATGGGTTAGGCGTCACGTCACACTGCAGGTTTGTGGCCGTCTTTTTGGCGAGACACTGATCACCTCGTATGCACCTGACACGGACTCCGAGAGGCTCTTAGCATTCCGTCACGCCCGTCTCTAAAGTCTCCATCAATGATAACGGCGGCGGTTCGATATCCCATTTCTACGATCGCCCCTTGAAACCCCCACAAGCCCCTGGTCCAATCCTGCAATGCCTAACAAAAAGCAGATAGCACATTCGCAGCGTATTGGAGTCTGCAGTCTGTACCAAAAGCAATTCTTTGCGTCGATCGCCCGCTACGAATGAAAATTTTTCGAGGCAGCCCTCTCTAGGGAAATTCCCCATCGAGACCATTCTACCGAGTACTCCGAGACTCTGCCTGAGGTTTTGACTGGGTCCAAGAAAGAGGGAAAGAGACAAGAGAGAAAAAAAGGAGAATCTATCATCACCAAGCGAGGTGAAAAGTTCAGCCATAAAAATATAATTGGTTTCAATTGTTGTGTTCACATCTGTCCGCCTGACCTGCGACTGCCCACACACCCTGGACGCTGGTTGCTTTGACACACATTGGTGGCTGCTGCTGGTCCTGCTGGTCTTTGCTGCTAATTCTGCTTTGTTTCCTTTTCTCTTTGAGGTTCATCTCTCACGGGCAGGAACCAACAGCTGAGCGAACAAGACACAAAACAGCCCTCTCATCATCGTGCATTCACCGCTGTCGGCCACTGACCAACAACACAAATCCCTCATCTGCGTCTCCCTAGTCTCTCCTCTCACCTCCTTACATCTTCTCACCTCGTCCAGCTGACCCTTCCCTCGACATTCTCTTTATTCTTACACTGCTTTGCTGGTCGTGTGCTCGGAAGAAACTGACTCGGCACGGCCGAATTCATCGACCTAAAGCTGTACTCAAAGACCATCCTTAACCCCGGGCACCGCCACCAAACCGCCTACTGCCTACAACCCTGCAAGATCTGGAGATTTCAGCGGGTCCGAGCTTTGGACAGTCGACATCATCGTTGCCCGAAGCCTCCAATCTCCGTCCCCGTTCCTGACGTTGCAATACTGTTTCCTGCCCTGGGGGAACATCTGAATAATCACCCGTGTAAGAACACCGACAATCCGGTTGTCTTTTCCACACGTCCTCTTCACACGCACCCGCACAAAACTTAATTGTTTCTTGCACAATCTTTTTCTGCAAATCTCCTTACGCCCCCAAAATTCCAAAGAAGTTGGAAGGTTGCTGGTCATGAGCTTGCCAAATGCGGTGCACCATCATCGTCGACGGAGTTCATCTCTCGAGCGCCGAGACCCTTATTCCTCCCCTTCTGTTTACTATGACGAGGAAGCCGTGAGACGTCAACTCCTGGGCTCACGAAACAGAGCCGTCACTTCGGTCTGTCACCTCTACCCCCTTTTGTTCTGGCCCTTACTGACTCTTTGGTAGTACATCAAAACTACACGCGAAAACGCTCTCGAGGCCTTCAAAGGCAGTTATCCCGCTCGGAGGACAAGTCACGGTGCGTACATGTGCCCCCTTGATATTGTTCGTCGACGCAGAACAGAAGAAGGTGGCTGATACAAGGTTGTTGCAGATGAACATCACCAACAACACCAGGAGCTACTGGTGGATGTCGACCGCACTTTGGAGGACCTCTTGGAACGGGAAGACGTGGACAAAAATCAACAAATCACCATAGAAGACAACGGTCCCAAGGTAGGCCTATAGTACCCCTAGACATTTCCAGAGACTGACCCCCACGCAGCACATCAGCTTGGGCACATTGGCCTCTGCAGGTTACCGATCGGCCGAAGTTCGTGGAAACTATATGATCAGCAATCTCCTACAAGAGTTGACTTTGGCCAAAGATTTGGGCAAGAAGGTGGTCAAGATACACCGCTCTCGACTGAGTGAAAACCCCGTCGATCGCCTTTCGCGACGTATCAGGGACGAATTCTGGAACAACCTGACCCGTTGTCTGGACGCCGCCACAATCGAAAAAGCAGGTCGCGATCCCAAAGACTGGACTGCCGACCCGAGGCCTCGCATCTATATCCCATCCGGCTGCCCAGAGCAATTTGAATATTACACCCAAGTTGCCAGAGACCGTCCGGACATGCGGCTGGATGTCCGCTACCTGCCCGAAGGTCCCATCACTGCCGAATACGTGCGGGGCCTCAACAATGCACCTGGCATTCTAGCTCTAGCCATGAGAAAAGAGATGGTCAACGGGCAAGAGACACTCAAAGGGGAGCCATTTATCGTCCCGGGAGGGCGTTTCAATGAACTGTACGGATGGGATAGCTACATGGAGTCTCTGGGTCTGCTTGAGAACGGAAGGGTCGACCTGGCCAAGTCCATGGTCCTCAACTTTGCCTTTTGCATCAAGCACTATGGCAAGATTTTGAACGCCAACCGTTCCTACTACCTCACTCGATCGCAACCACCCTTCCTGACCGACATGGCGCTTAAAGTCTATGACAAGATCAAGCACGAACCGGGAGCCCTGGATTTCTTACGCTTGGCCATCCGAGCGGCCATCAAAGAATACTATAACGTGTGGATGTCTGCACCTCGTTACGACCCCGGAACTGGGTTGTCACGATACCGGCCCGATGGTCTTGGTGTACCACCAGAGACTGAGGCGTCTCACTTTGTGCACATTTTGACACCGTACGCCAAGAAACACGGTATGACGTTTTCCGAGTTTGTCGAGGCATATAACAGTGAAAAGGTGCACGAGCCTGAGCTGGATGAATACTTTTTGCATGACCGTGCCGTCCGCGAGTCTGGCCACGACACGTCGTACCGCTTGGAGGGTTGTGCTGCGAACTTGGCTACGATCGACCTGAACTCGCTGTTGTACAAGTACGAAATCGATATATCCTGGTGTATACGGCAATATTTCAAAGACCGCTTAAGCATACCCGCCGAATTCCAGACCGACGCCAACCGAAAAGAAGGATTCGAGACGTCGGCGACGTGGGACCGACGAGCACGGTTGCGCAAGGCCCGCATCGACAAGTACATGTGGAACGAAGCCAAGGGCATGTACTTTGACTACGACACGGTCCATAAAAAACGCACCACTTACGAGACAGCAACCACCTTCTGGGCGATGTGGGCAGGATGCGCATCTCCCAAACAAGCGGCTGCGCTAGTGCTGAACGCTCTACCCAAGTTCGATTGCTTCGGAGGGCTCGTGTCGGGTACTGAGGAGTCTCGCGGCGAAGTAGGTCTTGATCGACCAAATCGGCAGTGGGACTATCCGTACGGATGGGCTCCTCAGCAGATGCTAGCATGGGGAGGCTTCATCAAGTATGGTTATATCGAAGAAGCACAGCGACTGGCGTACAAGTGGCTGTACATGGTTACCAAGGCATTCGTCGACTTCAACGGGGTGGTGGTGGAGAAGTATAATGTTACTCGGGAGCTAGACCCACACAAGGTTGAGGCCGAGTATGGCAATCAAGGTGCCGACTTCAAGGGCGTGCCTCGGGAAGGGTGAGTATTGTGTCTGATTCTCTTTTTTGGTGGCCCCGCCTTCTCACTGACATTGTTTCAGATTCGGCTGGGTCAATGCCAGTTACGTGTATGGATTGTCCTTTATCCCGATGCACATGAAGCGCGCCCTCGGCACCCTCACACCATACGAGACCTTTGCGAAGGCGACAGAAATCAAACTTGGGGCGGTTGAGGATACTATTCAAGAAGGCTCTGACGAATCGAGGCAGGACTCGGCGGACGAGGCGGTTGTCAGTTCGAGCCTGGAATCGCTCTGAAGTGGCCGTAAGATCTCAGTCCCGATGTCACTGGGGGGTTGTTTTGTTTGTTTCGTCGCATATCTGGCAAGCGAGTTGGTGGATAACTTTCCCGATGCATCATCTATTCACGGAATAGACTTAGAGGGCATTATGCGCAAGAGACGAGATTGTTTGTTTTTAGCGAGCACGAGAACATCAGGCCTCGAGACTGCGGTCGGTGGCTCTTATTCCATCGGGTATCCTTTTGGCAGGGTGGTTATGGCGGGAGTTTTGCTTCAAGAGGCAGACATGGGAGGGTGAATAGACCCTGGGGGGGGTTTGTTGGTATACATAGTCTACGAATAGTTTGTCGCAGCTGCGGGAAAAGAGGTGCTACTCCTGTAGAGGACCTCACTGAGTTGCAAGAGTATGGGATGAACAGTTTACCAAGCGATATCGGCTAATAACAGTATAGACCATGTACCTCGTTGATTCTACCAAATTGCCGGGCTGTAGCAGACATATTTAAGGAGCCAATCGGTGTGATGCGCTTGACCCTTGACGAGGCTTCCGGGTATTTCTCGCGTAAGCGGCGTGCGGCAGGTGCGATGGATGGACTGGCAATTGCCGGGCGCTCACGTGAGAGCAGTCAAAGTCTCATGCCTCGTGATGGACAAAAGAAGCCGAGGCGCCATTGAGGGCCAGACTGCGTCATTAATTTTTTTGTCCCACCACAAACCAACGACCACAATGACCTCCTCTGCTTCCTCTTCTGCCTGCGCACACATCACCGCATACTACGAGTAAGGACAGCGACAATGGAGTGGCTGCCACCCAGCAAAGAGAATCATTCTTCCTCCAATCCGGGCACTCTGTCGACAAATGGCGGGTGAACGGAGTTTCTTGGTTTAACGTCATGGCCACATGCCAATCATTGACTTTCCCCCACAAAAAGCCGATCCTGCACCGACACCATCGACACCATCATCTCCCCACTAGACACTACATCCAGGTATCGACACGCTTCCTCCGCGCTCTTCCTGCATGTAGCCAATCTCTTTTCGTCCTGGCATCCGGCCGCAAGCGGCAAAGGCTTAGCCTGCCATGTCTGGACTCCAGGTTTTTTTTGCCTTCTGAATCATCGGGATCCATCCCCCATGGCCGAGAGGCAATGCGAGACGCTCGACGCTCGAACCACCTTCGAGCCTCGACCCCAAGCTTCCCTTGGGCCTGGCTTGAGCTTTTTTACTTAAGTTCTCCTGCGTCACCCTCCTTTGCTTCTCAATCTTCGACCTTCAGACCTTGGGTTCCTCTGTATTACACCTGTCCTCTCCACTCCGTATAGGTTTTTGGAGATCTGCATTGTCGTGGGAGTATCATTCATTCCGACCACTACTGCTACTGAAGCTTGTGAGAACTCTCTTTTATGACGTCTGCCCTTAAAAAGGTCATTGACACCTTCACAATGTCTTCCCTCGACCAAGAAGAGCAGCTTTACCTGCAAGATGTAGAGGCCGTCAAGAAGTGGTGGACTGACTCCCGCTGGCGCTACACACGACGACCATATACAGCCGAGCAGATTGTGCAGAAGCGAGGCACGCTCAAGATCCAGTATCCTAGCAATGACCTGTCAAAAAAGCTGTGGAAGATTGTTGAGCATCGTTTTGCGGTAGGCAATACAATTGAGATATCCAGGTAAACAGGAGCCACGACTAATATGACTGGTACAGACCAAGACCGCGTCCGCTACCTATGGCTGCCTCGAGCCCACGATGCTGACACAGATGAACAAATACCTGGATACCGTCTATGTGTCTGGCTGGCAGTCGTCCTCGACCGCCTCGTCCACCGACGAGCCTTCTCCCGATTTGGCTGACTACCCGATGAACACTGTGCCTAACAAGGTTCAGCACCTGTTCATGGCTCAGCTGTTCCACGACCGCAAGCAGAGAGAGGAGCGCCTTACCACTCCCAAAGACAAGCGAGGCCAGGTGGCCAACTTCGATTATCTCCGACCCATCATTGCCGACGCAGACACAGGCCACGGAGGTCTGACGGCTGTCATGAAGCTCACAAAGCTGTTTATCGAAAAAGGCGCTGCGGGCATTCACATTGAGGATCAAGCTCCAGGAACCAAAAAGTGCGGCCACATGGCTGGCAAAGTGCTCGTCCCCATTTCCGAACACATCAACCGTTTGGTGGCAATCCGCGCCCAGGCCGACATCATGGGTGTTGACTTGCTTGCCGTGGCTCGCACCGACTCAGAGGCAGCAACCCTGATTACCACGACCATCGACTACCGTGACCACCCTTTCATTCTTGGATCCACCAACGCCAATCTGCAGCCGCTCAACGATCTCATGGTTGCGGCCGAACAAGCCGGCAAGAACGGAGACGAACTCCAAGCCATCGAGGACAACTGGATCGCCCAAGCTGGCATCAAGTTGTTCGACGACGCCGTGATCGACGCCATCAATGCCGGCGTCCACGTGGATAAAGCAGCGCTCATCCAGAAATACAAGACCGCCTCCAAGGGTAAATCCAACAGCGAATGCCGTGCCATTGCCAAGGGCTTGACCGGTGTTGATATCTATTGGGACTGGGATGCCCCGCGAACCCGCGAAGGTTTCTACAGGTACCAAGGTGGCTGTGAATGTGCGGTGAACAGGGCGATCGCCTATGCGCCGTATGCGGACATGATCTGGATGGAGAGTAAGTTGCCAGATTATGCTCAGGCCAAGGAGTTTGCCGAGGGCGTGCACGCTGTGTGGCCAGAGCAGAAGTAAGTCACCCTGAAACTCTCGAGGTGAACATTTAGCTAACATGTTGCTAGACTCGCATACAACCTCTCTCCGTCCTTCAACTGGAAACGCGCCATGTCCTCGTCAGACCAAGAGACGTACATTCAGCGCCTCGCCGAACTTGGATACTGCTGGCAATTTATTACCTTGGCTGGCCTGCACTCGACCGCTCTCATTTCCGACACCTTTGCCAAAGCCTTTGCTAAGCGCGGCATGCGTGCGTACGGCGAACTCATCCAGGAGCCTGAAATGGAGAACAAGGTCGACGTGGTCACCCACCAGAAATGGAGCGGCGCCAACTATGTTGACAACATGCTCAAGATGGTCACTGGCGGAGTCAGCAGTACCAGTGCCATGGGCAAGGGCGTGACCGAGACGCAGTTCCATTGATCTTGTTGATTTTGACTTGCACATGCGTTTTTTTTTTACGTTCACTTCTCGAAAAGGACGAGATGTTTTGGGCATGTTTCATTAATAGATAGCCAGCGGCTATCTACCTATCTATCTATGTGATACCGAAGGAGACAAGAGAGACATGTTGGATCACGTTTGAGTGGATTGGACAGAGAGGGAGCCACAAAAGTGTCGAAATAAAAAGTCGAAGGCCTGGGTTCCTTTTTTTATTTACCTGACGACGAGCAACGATTGAAATAAGGAATGAGAGGAGAATTGACTCTTGCAAGTTCCTGTAACTAGTATATATATATATATATATATATATCCCCGCAGTATCTTGAACATCTGTTCCACCTGCCGACTTTGGCTGTTCGTGCTATTATTTCATACCATTCTGTTTACTTCAGGTAGTGAATGTGGTTGTACTTTGAGATCACGTGTCCTCACTTTCCCCCAGCTCTGCCGAGTGGCCCCCCAAAACTACTAAGAGAGGACGCCTGTGGTTGTGACTACGGTCGTGATCGTCATAGAGGTAGATGATGGTCGTGATATCGACGGCCAACCCCCCCCCTCTTTCTTTAGGACCCTGTCGCAGTCGCCCTCGCCGTGTCGATGCGGGACTTGATGCCAACCCAGTCCGGCAGGGCCCTCAACAGCGTCCCGACCCAGAACTTCTCCGGCACAAAGACACTCCCGCTCCGGCCGCGCAGGACGTGCCCGACCACCGGGGCAGCGACGTCGACGGGCTCGAGGACCTGTTGGCGCGAACGGGACAGCTGTGTCGCCCAGGTTCCCACGAGCGGGGTGCGAGCCCACATCGGGTGGACAATCGAGGCCTGGACGCAGTGGCCGCCCTGGGAGGCGTGGCGCGTGTGCAGCTCGGCGAGGAGCGTCTCGTGCAGGGCCAGGACGCCGGCCTTTGTCGCGCTGTAGTCGCCCAGGCTGGCGCAGCCGGTGTAGCTTGCCATCTGTATTTTATGTTCATGTATGTCAAGAGACCAGTTCTTTTCCCTTTTTTTCTTGAAGAGATAGGGGGTTTAGGGGGAGGGGCAGAAAAGGGGTTGGGAGTTGAGGGGTGAGGTTTGAGAGAGCGGGATATTTGGTATTTTGGTATTTGGTATATACATGCTGATAAGAGGATGTGATGGGGTGGTGTGAAGGGGAGTAAAAGGGGGGGAAAGGGGGAAAGCAGAGTAGACAAAACTCACACTGGCAATCGACACAACATGCCCCTTGCGCTGGGCCATCATCTTCGGCAACAGCAGGCGGATCAGCGTAAAGTGACTCAGCAGATTCACGCGGAAGATCTTCTCGAGCCAGGCCTCGTCCGTGTCGAGGATCGTGTGGGCGCGGGCGATCCCCGCGTTGTTGATGAGCACCGTCGGCGTGGTTCCCCGAGAGCAAATGAGTTCCACGGCATCGGTGATGGAGGACGGAGAGGTCAGGTCGGCCTGGTAGTAGGATAGGCGGGGGACTATATCACGAAAGGGGTTGTCGAGGGTCAGTAGGAGGTGGAGAGGGGGGGGGGGTATTGTTGACGTAGTTGGAAAGGTGCGGTCGTTATAGCTCTGCTCTGCCTGATCCAGAGCTACAATACCTTGGGAAGGGTGAGTTGGTTGGTGGGTTGGTAAATACTTACTATCCTTCAAGTCGTCCGGCAAATCCTGCACATCCAGCACGACAATGTTGGCCTGCGTCTGCGCGGCGAACATCTTGACCATCTCCCTCCCGAATCCGGAACACCCGCCCGTGATCAGGATGGTCTCTTTGCCCGGCGCCTGAAAATCCCACGCCTCACCCTGCTTGCGTATGTGCCAGTAATTCAGGGCCAAGCGGCTGAGGAACCGGTTCGCGTGCACAACCAGCCCGAGCACGAAGAGGAATTTCAGCGACCGGAGCGGCGGCGTCGCCCGAAGTTGGACACTGTTGGGAATCCCCCAGGGGAGTTGAAAGGGGAGAAGTGTCACGGACATAGTCGGTGGCGGCCAGGGCAGATTCTCGAGGACCGTCGTGTTGCGCTGGAGGTAGAAGAGTAGTGGCCCCGTGAGAAGGGGGTTCAAGAGTGTTTCGGCCATGGCGGTCCGGGGTGAAGGAATCGTGGAGAGAGTCGATTGGACTGCCATTCTCTCCTTTTTCTCGTCCTCCCTCTTAGGGGGTTGGTTTGAGTCGTGGTGATTGAGGCTCCGTCACTCTGCGGCGACCTGGAAACTCTCCCTTCTGGTCGGTATCTGCTTTGGTCGGGTCGGGCCCGGCTTTTGAAAACCCTTCTGGTTTCCCGATTGGTCCTGGCAAGAATACGTGCGTGGCAGGGTTGTCGGTGGCTGTTCAAGATGTTCTGGCCATGTTTTTGCTGGGGTCACGGACGTGGCTTCGGGGGACACACCTTAATGATAGACAGTTCCCAGTGGTTCGCTTAAGCTTTGGCGGTCGGGCAAGGCTTCCACTCAGATTCTGACTCGTTAGATGTCAGTCCCTCCGAGGGAGGGTTCCCGTCTAGTCTATCCGCGCTAGTCCTGATTAGGAGTTATATCCAGTGGAACGCCCAGTTGATCAACCCTCCCTTATTTCCCACCAGCCTGATCCCTAAGCTCCGTTGTATTTTTCTTCTACGTCGTGGAAAAATTACGACCGGGCGAAAGATTACGACCAGGGGACCCATGCACACATAGCTACCTACCTAGGTTAGGCAGACGCCTTGGTCCACCCTCCTTCCTTTTGGTTGTAGCGCAACTAAATGATCTGCAGGCCAAAAGTCGTTGTGAGGGACAGAAAGTGCCCAGGTGGTCGACTCTGTGGCCTTGGGCAGCACTCAAGGTAATACCTGGAACGAGTGATGCTTAATCAAAAGTTGTCCCTCCAAGCTTGACTCGAGTTCGAAAATGGCAATTCGAGACCTGTGCCAAGTGAGGGCTCGACCTCAGACGCAGAAGTATATAAGTAGTCCGATAGCACCCTTCCCCTCGTAAAAAGGCAGGGTAATTTTCTCTCCCAGAGGTGTTCCATCTTCGCTCTGTCTTGTGTACACGTATCTTCTGAAACCACTCCAACAATCGCTCGCAAATATGGATCCGAGTCCATCCTTCTCAACAGATGTTAGCGTCTTCCACACCAACGAACCAGAGTTGCCACTCCACAAGCCGTCTGGGAAGGGCCAGAAACGTCGACCAAGCTCCTCATGCCCAGATGAAGGTCCAACAGGTGTAAAGAGGCCAAAGCTATCACACACCGCCTTCACAGAAGCTGCCGAAAGGGCTGTTTCATCGTCAAGGGCAAGCACAACGGTCCACACTGGATGCGTCACACATGATTCCCCCAAAGACCCTCTGTTCGATAATGATACTGTCGATTACGTGACAGAAGATACTTCCCTGATGGCCGAAGGAGAGGTGGATCATCAACATATGCTTCCCCAGAATACCGGCTCAGCAGCGGGCACCGAGGATCTCAACCAAGATCTTGCCCAGATTGGAACCTTTGTGGACGAGGAGGCGTATGCTTGTATTTGACCCGCGCCTTTCTGCCAGATCCCGCTAACTGTACGTTGCAGGATCACCGAAGCTCTTCTCACAGCTCTAGAGGAAGTCCTGGATGATGTGGCATCTAGGTTGGAGGGGATATTGAGGGCTGCTGATGCGGTTCTCCCCGATCTTAGATCATCCGTCAATACCGGCGGACGTGGTGATATATGGCTCGGGTCCGCACCAATCTTTGAGGTGTCATGCTGCTTGAGGCCGCTGTCAGTATGCAGGAAATCTCGTGTTGTCTGTCGTTTCGGAGTTGTGAACTGTGGCGCCAAGGGCTCCAGAGGCCGACAAATCGACAAGAACCGATGGTCCGAGAGGTTAGCACAGATACTAGACACAATCCTAGTGAAATTTTCTGTTGAAACAGCGTATCATGCTTCTGAATTCTCAGTGACAGTTTAGCGCACGACACTGCCGTGCTTAGATCATGGATCAGAACCATCGACTCTCAATGTTATAGGGCCAGAACGGTACTGCTGTCTTCTGGCCTGTCCATGCGCACCAAACAACAGCATAATGAACACAGAGATCCAGAAACGAAACGTGGACCAACACTTGAGAATTTTGTCCTTCTTGCAGGCGGCAGGAATTCATATCATTCAGCAAAATGTGGTATCTAGTGTCCTAAAGAAATGAAAGACGCCTCCCTGGAAAAGGTCAGCGTGCAAGAAAAAGACATATTAACTGTCGCAGATATCCGCATACTCCTTCTCGACATGTATAACTTCCTCCATGATATGCGCCCGCGTAGATCATGTCACCTCATGCTTGCTTGCTCGTCATCTCATTGTCGCATATACTCATCTGAAGGGTCGCTCATATGTTCCATCATCGTTGCCAACTGCGCTGGCGGGTGGACTGCGGAAATGACTCATGTCTCCGCTGCCGGTTCTCCGGAGGGCTTGTCGCATTGTTTCAACGTTGATTTCGTTTCCAGCGGCCAGTGGTGAGCTCTGTCCTGGGAGCGGGCTCCCAGCACCCCTCGGGGCTCGGTTGGGAGATGTCTCAAGGCCCTTTACGGAGGCGGTCACACTTGTGGGTGGAGATGTTCCAAATGCCGCCGAGGACGTGGGCGATCGAATAGGGGATGGGGACCGAGCCGGAGCGAGGGACGGGTGTCCCGATAGATGAGTCGAGTCTCGGCGCGGATCTCCCAGCTCCTGCTCGCCGTGAACGACATCAGCGAAGGAGATGAAACTCAGGCGCCGCACATCGGTGGAATCCAAGGAGCCATAATTCGACCCAGTATCCGTGTCTTGACGATGCGCCGCAGACGGAGGAAACTCGTCCTGAACCGAAGAAGCAAGAGAATGATCGGCTCCAAGACCGGAGATCGTCACGGCAGCAGGTTGATGTGTTACATGGGTAACGATCTCCACCGTGTCGGGGTCCAGCTTTTCGTTGGTGATAGCCTCTGCAGATGCGTCCAGAGCGGGCGCAATGTGATTTTCCATGAGCACATGGGAAGGCAAGTGTGGGGACGTCTCAGGAAGAGCGATTTCCTCCTGGACATTTCGCTCGAAGATCATGGAAGACGCGGGAGAGTGCGGCCTCGGAGACGAGTTGCTCACTCCGTACCCCGGCGAGCCCGGGATACCATATGGATGAGCCACAGAGCCTCTGTGCGGCGATACCGAACCACTGGTCGAGTCCACAGACCTAATGGGCGACGTCGGATTCAATCCAGCGGAGGCGCTGGCAGTGGAGGAAGAGGGTTTTGTAACAACGGCAGCTTTCCCCTTTCCATGATGTTTGTCTTCATCCGGCTTCTTTCCCAACTTCCAGAAATCCCTCTTCCGCGGTTTAGTCGCAGTTTCCTCAACTGTCGGCGCAGGATTCTGCGCTCCGGAGGGTAGAGCAGAGGAATCTCTTAACAAAGGAGCGGCCGAATCCCTTGACTCGGTACTGGCACTGACTTTGTCGTTGACGGATGGTTCTTTGGACGACATGATGACCGATCGTTATGTTGTGGTTAAGTGATGCGAATATTTAGTGGTCCAAATTGGGGACTGTCCCAGGCTGCCAGGTCAAAATAGAGAGAATAGGCCGTCAACAGATGTGACACGCGTTTAGACAGAGCGCCGGAGGCACAACATATTGTAAATAAGGAACCAAAGAGTAACTCTTAAAAATAGTATTCAAATGTGAGCTGATTCCGGGGAGTGGTAAACCACTTGCGCCAGGTCTCGCAGTTGCAGCACGGAGACTTATGAGTGAAGGATGGGAGTGTAACCGGCGCTGGAGAGAGGGGATATACAGAGTGAGATGCAGATCGACCTGATGTACTGAAGGTGGTTTTCCGGACAACAGGCAGGAAGAGTTTCGGAGTATTACAAAGGGTGCCCTGTGCAACGAAAGTATGTGTGGTGGTGGTGCGGGTGGGAGAGGAGGTGAGGGTGAGGATGGCAGTCGATTTGCTTTGTTATTGAGAATAGGAAACCTGGGAGGAGACGGCAAGTAATACGTAGTTGGTATGCACTACTCCCAGGGTAGGGATGCAAGTGTTCCATGGATAAAAAGGTTAGCACAATTGGTCCATGTCTCGGAGGATGGGGAGGGCACATCACTGGCACATCTCGAAAGCTCATGATGATTTGTGTCCGATTGGGCTCGCAAGCCTCGAACATCACCGGCGTGCTTCGCCTAGAGCAACCCAGAAAAGCCCAATAAATCCCTGTGGGAGCCACCAAAGTGCCCACCAGACAGGCCCCCTCAGGCATTTAGGCTCCCGCTTTTGGCAGCAGCTGTAGTTTCAGGGACACCGGCACCAGCCAGGGGACGCAAGACTCGCATCACCAGCACTGCCCAGTAGTGCCAGTGTCTTGTGACAAGTGGAACAACCCGATGAGCTAATACGAGTCTGCCAAGCCACCATTGGTGGCTGCACTGGCTCGACTTTTGACTGCGCGCGAGCTGCTGATCTTTGACGCCTTGTTTCGTCCCGACGCACAGGACAATCAATTGTGCCGTCATCTCGACTAGCCAGGAGGGTTTCGAGGTCTGGGGACGTGCAGCGCAATATCCCTACAGTGCCCGAAAAACATTTGCGCTGTTTAGGGTGTGCTTGAGCGACGGTAGTCCCGACTTGTCAACCAAAATTCTCATCAGAACCATCGAGACCAGGCTTCGGGGACATCAGCTAGACGGCTGCGAGTGTCTTAACTGTTCAGGCGTTCGCAAATGCACAGAGCAACTCCCATGGTCAATATGCAGTCGATGACCCTTTCTCCAATGCCATCGAACGCATCTTCGCGATTCTACAAGCTCTGCGCCCAGATCCTCCGACCCTCTTTCCGCCGACATCAATCTTCCTACCGACGAACAAGGTCCAGGCTCAATATCAAGCCAGATCCGGACTTCCTACCCTCCAAGACAGAGCTGCACGACCACATCATCTACAACCCTCCTCCAAGCATGCCAAATGTCTACCACACGCCCAACATCTTCCTGCCCAAGAATGACCGCAGGAAAGTGCTTCCAGATCCTGAAATCCAGCAAATACATTTACAATCGGCTCAGCAGCTGCCAGCCATCCCGGGGCAAACAGAGAAACGATACCACCTAACGGAGAAGGACTTGGAAGATATGAGGGAATTGAGGCGGACAGATCCCACGCAATGGAGCGTCAGTCGGCTATCTAAAAAGTTTGATTGTTCACCGGTCTTCACACACCTGGTCGTCGAGGGGTTGGCTCCAGAAAAGGGCAAAGAGCAGAAAATGGTGACGGATATTGTCAAGTCGAACTGGGGCAAGAAAAGAAGAGAGGCACGCGAGGATCGACAGATCAGAAAGGAACGCTGGTATAGAGATGCCTAAAGCAATGTATAGATATGAAGGAATAGCAGGACCTGCATGCAGAAGTTTTTGCTTTCTCTACCTGTGAATCAATAGTACGACTGTTAAGGGGTCCCAGTCTTGTACAGTTTTCAGCCAGTTTTGCAATGCGGAGATCTCCAAAACCTATCAATCACACTCTAAACTACGTGACTGTATCCCGCGCAGGCAAAAAGACCTTCAGCCTGTCAACACATGCTCCCCACGATTTGCGCAGGTCGTCCCTCTTCGACACATCTCCAGAGATTTTTCAAGACTGCATCTTTGCTGGGCACCACCGCTCGACCTCGCTACCCGCTCAAACGTGCATTGAGACTTACAGCCCATACTCGAGATTACTACGGCCACATCTCTGACGACAAGATGGCACCACAGCTAGAGCCTTATTTCAAGAAGTAGGGCACAAGACCTAGACATTGACAACGTGCTAACAAGTTTCAGGGTAGATGAGCTCGCCGATTCCTTCATCGACCGTAGGGACCCTTTGTAACCTCAGTGACGACCGCGGGGTACTGACCATCACTTTCAACAGGACTGCGAAAAGCCGTGGCAATCCCTTCCGTGTCGGCGGACGAAGAGAGAAGAAAGGATGTCGTCCGAGTAGGTGATCACAAGAAGCAGTACTGCTAGAATGTGGCTGAAAGAGCAATAGATGGGTCAATTCCTGGCCTCCGAACTGGAATCCCTAGGTGCAGAGGTTCAACAACGCCCGCTCGGAAAACAACCCGGCAAGGAACATCTCGACCTTCCTCCAGTCATCATTGCCCGCTATGGGAATGACAAGAACAAGCGGACCATCTTGGTCTACGGACACTATGATGTACAACCCGCCCTTATCGAAGACGGATGGGCTACAAAGCCCTTCGAGTTGACCATCGACGACAAGGGACGCATGTACGGGCGGGGCAGCACTGACGACAAGGGACCCGTGTTGGGCTGGTTGAACGCTATCGAAGCCCACCAGAAGGCCGGCGTCGACTTCCCCGTCAATCTGCTGTGCTGTTTCGAGGGTATGGAAGAGTACGGCTCCGAAGGTCTGGACGACTTCATCAACGCCGAGGCCAAGAAGTTCTTCAAAGATGCCGATGCCGTGTGCATCTCTGACAACTACTGGCTCGGAACGGAGAAGCCCTGTCTCACCTACGGTTTGCGAGGATGCAACTACTATTCCATCTCCATCTCCGGTCCAGGACAGGACCTCCACTCAGGAGTGTTCGGAGGCACTGCTCAGGAGCCAATGACTGATTTGACGCTCATTCTCAGCAAACTTGTCGATAACCGCGGAAAGATCCTCATTCCTGGCATCAACGAGATGGTCGCCCCGCTCACCGAGGAAGAGAAAGCTCTCTACGGACCCATCGCCTACACCATGGACAACCTGTACGAATCTCTAGGTTCCGAAACGGCAATCTTCTCCGATAAGGAAAACACCCTGATGGCCCGCTGGCGGTACCCTTCACTCTCGATCCATGGCGTCGAAGGTGCCTTCTCGGCTCCCGGGGCGAAGACGGTGATCCCAGCAAAGGTCATTGGCAAGTTCTCCATCCGCACCGTGCCAGACATGGAGT